AATCCGGTGCCCCAAAATTGCAGCGCACACCCGTGAGCTAAAGCTTTTTATGCACGCTCTATTTTGCAGCGTCTGCTGAAGTGCTGTTTTTTGTCTTCGGCGCACAAAAACGACTGTTTTCAGCACGTGAGGTATTTTTGATCGTCTGTTGGAGATGCTCTAAAAGCATCTACAACGGAAATGTACAAATAGTGTCACTTAAATGCCCGTGGACACGTCCGGTCCGTGTTCGTTTTGACCTCTCATATTTGCTTGCATCTATGCACACCCCCTAGTCGATCCCTTATATTTTCAGACATTTCAACATTTGCTTGCATCTATCCACACCCCCTACTTGATCCCTTATTGTTTCAGACATTTCAACGAGCACCTTGTGAGCGGCATCACCAGCGCACGATGATCGATGAAGACAAAGGACGAGAAGAAAAGGCTGGCAGCCGACATGCAAGCCATGCCCGCACGCAAGCCAGCCAACATGCAAGCTACGCACGCACGCAACCGTCTGCACGCACAGCGGCTGCGCACACCGAGGCTGCACCCGCGCCCGTGGCTCCGCCCGCCTGCGCCCTCGTACACGGCTGCGCGCGCCCACATCCGCGCCCGTCACCACTCGGCTGCGCGCCCGCGTTCGCGCCCCGGCTGCTGCGCGTGCCCACGCCCGTGCCTGCGCCCTGGCGGCCAGCGGACGGCGGCCGCGGCGACGTCCAGCACGCCTTCCCGCGCCCCGGCAGCCAACGCGCCAGTGGCTGCAGCCGCCGCCGCGCGCCCGTATCCGCGTGAGTCGTCGCTCGGGCTGCGCACCTGCGCCTGCGCCCTGGCGGCCCGCGGACGTTGGCTACGCACGCCCGTGCCCGCGTCCGCGCCCTGGCAGCCAGCGCACGGGCGCGCGCGCCCTGGTTGCCAACGCATGGCGGCTACACACGCCCGCGCCCCGGCGGCTGCGTGCACGGCAGCCAGCGCGCCTGTGGTCGTCTTCGCGGGGCACCAGCTCTGAGCTCGGGAGAGAGAGATCACAGACGAAGAAGGCTCGAGTGACTGCATATGGGATTATCGGGTCAAGTGGAGGTGCCCGGGCGTGACCGGGCAGCCTCATATTGACCCCAGATTTAAGATGGGTCCGGTCAGTTCGGGCGTTTAGGGGTCAATTTTTTTATTATCAGATGGACGTTCTAGGCGTTTAGGAAGAAAGTAGGGGGTCCGGCTGTAGATGCTCAAATCTCCTAAAGAAGCAGTCCCTTCTGAATTTGACACCTGAATATCACTTCTGAACTTCTCTGAACTTTCACTGTCCCTGGCAGAAAAACAGCAATGGTGTGTGACCACAGGCCGGCCACGGCACAATCAGGGGGGAGAGGCTAACAATGGGGAGATGACGTGCTGGCGCTGCGACACAAGTACATGGATGCATATGCTCCAGAAAAGGGGGCCGGCGGCCTGCGTGCTGACCGCCGAGCATTCATTCCACAGCTGCTCTCTTCTCTTCTTGTTTTCCAATCCAGTTCCAATGGACAGACAGACACACATTAATTCAGTCCAGCATAACATTCGGGTCACATCGCTAATCTTCAAACAATCAAGCAAGCTATTAAACTTCTACTCCCTCCGTTCGGAATTACTTGTCGCAGAAATGGATGTATCTAGACGTATCTTAGTTCTAGATACATCCATTTCCGAGACAAGTAATTCCGAACGGAGGAAGTACAACATAGCAACAGGAACAGGTATGCCATAACCATTCTCGATAAAGAAAAGAGTAAAACATGATGCGTATCAGAGGTCTATATCATGCTATCAAGCCATATACTGCAGTCACGCTATCAAGACTTATACAGCAAAGTGGAATGAATAGCTAACTTTCTTTTGGACAAAATGAATAGCAAACTGAGTTCACAAGCTATACACATCACAGTCCATAATCGACTACAAAAAGGGCTTACAATTGATGATACAACTCACAATGTAACTTTTGTATGAACGCAATCTAATGCATCAGAATCTCAACAGGCGCTTGAACGCCAAGGCCAAGCGCAACAGGGGAAGGCCATGAGCAGCGGGGCGTCTTTCAGGTAGAAGCAGAACGATGTATTCAACCTTTTCTGTAATCCTAATCAACACTTGAACACAAGGGCAAGTGGAACAGGGGAAGGCCGCAAATCGGTGGGGGCGTCTTCAGGACTTGCAAAACATGAGGGAAAGCTATGATAGAGGATGCTGATGCCGTTGGATAGCACGAATGGCCGAAGGTGACCTGCAGGAAATTACCTGAAAACCTCCCGTTACATATTGATATTACAGTTAAGAATAGCTGAACTCAAAATAATTTAATACTAACAAAGTGGGGCACATCATGAAAAGGAGGTCACCTCGCTTGATTTATCTCGACGGTTCGAGAGGCTTGTTTACGGTTGAATTTTGCAAAAAAAGATACAACTGTAGGTGCTCCTGATGATCATCTCTGTGTCCATTACTGAAATGCCGAAATATCCTGTACACATAGGAGCAGGTAGTTACTTTTTCTATTATTTTCCACCTCAATATATCGCGAGTTTTGAATAACAAGGCGTGGTTTCACAATGCAAGAAAAACACTTATGTGCCAGCGTATATAAAACTCTAGGCGTTTGTCTGCAGCATTTTTTTCTACTTTTTAAGAAAAAAAAACTACCATCATGTTGGTTTTTTAGATTCTTATTATGCTCCAATTCATCAAACAAGAAATCAATCTTAGAATTAGCTTAATATTTGCTATGATGTAGCCTATGTGTTTCTGATTAGAATTGTGCAGTCAGCATATAATCCTGTTTCAATTAATGGACCAGCTGATCACCCCAAAAGAGAGGGATCCATCCTTTTATGCTATATTTTGGGAAACAAGGTGTCATTTTTAACATAAAAGAAACAAGAACGTTTTGTATATGAAAAAGTCGACCCTTCTGCATGAAAGAACCTTTTAAGAAATCGATATTTTTTTTTGGAAAACAATCAGACATAACAAAAGAAAACCAAGCAAGGACACACATTGAAGAAAACATGTTGGAGCACAACTTCGAAGCCAGCAGACGTGTTAGCAAAGCAAACGAAAAGTACAAGAGAGTAATTGGCATGCGGAGGCCAACCAAGAATGATGGAAGAAGAAGAGAGCAGCAAAAGAATGTGTCACTTGAACCAACAACGAATGGAGAACATACCAATATATTAATGTGAGTGAGCTTCAGCCCGTTTTCCCTTGATCTGCACCACATCTGTAATTGAGGGCAGTTGCTAATTTTCAGTTTCTTGAGGGTGAGTTGTTGTATGCCCTCCGGCAAAGACCTGATGCCCTCACAACAATTGATCACAAGAGTCTTGAGACAGGTTAATTCTCTCAACCAATGTGGCAATGATGACATGCTGTTACAATTATACAGTTTTATCTCTTGTAGCTTTGTCAGTTTCCTGATGCTCTCATCCAGTTCCTTTAGCCCTGCATATCCATCTATGAGAAGCCTCTCGAGGGATGTGAGCTCACCCAACCATTTTGGCAGTTCTTCATGGTCCTTGCCTTTTAGGCTTAGACCTTTGAGGGAAGACAGATGTTGGATGATCTCTGGTGTGCCGGTCAGATCACCACACCCTTCCATCCTTAATTCAGTCAGACCAGAGAGTTGGCCAAGCAGTCTCCACTGATGCAGAGGCAGCTCGCAGTCTGCAACAGCCAGTTCAGTTACTAGAGAAGAAGAGTTGGTGTGTGACATAGTACACTCTACCCGCGATGACAGCACATTATCACTCTTACTTACATACCAACGTTTAGCTCTTGGAAGAAATGATTTCATCCTCAGGTTGGGGCAATTTATTATATGCAAACAATCAAGCATAGGGAGCCTGAGGTCGCTCGCACCATTGGAGTCTGATGCCCTCCACTCTTCCAGATGTTTCATATCGTATAGACCTAGCCATGTCAGGTTTGGCAGTTCGCTAAGCCAGGATGGAAAACTGACACCATTATACCATTGTATAATCAATGTAGTTAAACTGCTTGGTGGCTCTAGTTTTTCCAACAACACTTCATCATCCACAAACCTCTGGGCATCTTCAGTCCACCGCAGAGTCAGGTCTTTAAGTCTTTCTTTTTCCATCAACTTTATGCACACAGCATCTTCTGCCGACTTCACTTTTTCAAGTTGGATTATCTGCAAATCAACAGGATTCGTGTCTTGTAGGAGGACAAGGTTGCTACTAGATTTACCATCACCAGTATGCACGCCAAAGACTGGTAATGATATGGAACTAGCACTGAGCTGCGGTACATTAGAAAGAAGCCAGCATCCCTTAAAATATAGCATCTTCAAACTATCAATCATACCTATACTTTCTGGTATCTTTGTAATATTGCAATATGAGAGGTCCAGTGTGTGCAGCTTCCTAAGGTTACCAAGACTTTCAGGTAGAGAGCAGATAGCATCACCGTTTTTAGACAAGTCCAAATGCCCCAGATTGGGAAGGGTACTAATATGGTCTATCAAACGGTCAATTTGACATACAGATGACCTGTCAAGTCTATACTGCAGACATGCCGATAGATTCAAATATTGAAGATTAGTAAATCCATCAAAAGCTTCCGGTATATAATTGACCCCTATACACATCGATAAATCAAGATGCACCAAACTTTTCTGATTTCCAGATAACCATGACAATTCTTTGAGACAATAAGAACCTGATAGGTTTAAAAACTTGAGTTTATTGAAGCTGCCTAAAACTTCAGGGAGCTGTTCCAGACAAGAGTGACTTGAAGATAACTTTGAACGCTCCACTTTGGCGACGGCGCCAAATACTTTCGTTTTTCTGCAATTAACATAAGAGCTGGATGATAAGTTCAAATATTGCAGCTCAGATAGGACACCCAAGGATGCGTGTAGATTTCCAATAGATCTACATCCTGACAAGTTCAAATATTGCAGTTCCATGAGGCTCCCCAAGAACTCTGATACATTGCAAACACAAACGCATTTTGACAAATCAAGATGCACCAATTTTTTTTAGCTCTCCGAAGGATTTTGGAAGTTCTCTCATTCCCGAACAACCAGATAAATCAAGATACATCAGACCTTCAATTTCTCCAATCGACTGTGGCAGTGTCAAGATGTTAGAAGAATCTCGGAGACTGAGGTAATTTAATTTTGATAGACTGGTTATACTATTGGGAATCGTTGCATCATGTATTCTGGGAGCGTTAAGATACCTCAACCGTTTTGATCGATCAATAGAATCTGGCAACTTATGTATGCAACACTGACTTAAATCCAAGACACGTAGGGACTTAGCAGATGGAAATGCAGCATCATGAAGTCCAATTTCAGCAGAGTCCATAAAATGGAGTGCTCTTATCCTGGGTGACTCCAATCGCTTGTTACAATCATCGAGCAATGCAAAGTGGCAGTTGCTTCCCCCAAGGTTGCCATCTTCACTAGCGACAAGAATTTCATCGTCCATTACCGATCTGGCTAGATCATGCACAAGATCATGCATGGTGAATAATGTAACATCGTCAGGATGCACTCTAGCAGTCTGCAATAAAAGCAATTAGTAATATCAGATTTGCACTAGCACATATAGTACATACTATAATGTCGATGAAAGTATGTCCTTGTGTGCCCTTATGCGGTTCAATCGATTTAATTTAAATAATAGAACATATATGGAAGTATGCCACTGTAGCATTTTTGCCAGTAATGTAAATTTGATTATGGAAAATTCCCTTGAACTTCAGAGTTTGAAACCCACCCTCCAAATGTCATGAGGCCTCCAAACCCATGTCATTGACTCTTAAATCTTAATCCTAGGCAAGTTACCCTGTCAGAGTTCTTGCCAAATTTTCACTGGCATGACAATGATTATAGTCAGCTTCCTAATCCATGATAATCATTTAACTTTGGCTTGTGCACAGTAATTAAAAATACTTTTATGCATATTACACATCAAATCTTAAGTATGCATTTTAGAAGAGCATGCATCGAGAAAGAACGCAGGAAATAGTTACTTGTACTAATCAATCATGCTAGTGGAAATAAGCAAAAAGGCCCAGCAAGCGAGAAGCTACGTTTATGCAAGATAGAGAATCCCAAGGGTGATAAGACCAACTTTTCTTCATGAAAATTTGAATATTAGCTTTCTTGCATTTGGAAGTTACCTTCCGCCGCTAGCCATTACTTCTACAGGATATGTTTATTTTTATTTGCATGCCATAATAAAGTCAATTGCCAAGATAATCAGGAATGTGCTTTTGTTGAGCTTGGATGTGTGGTAGTATGGGATGTGCCTTTTGGAGCATGTTGTAAACTGAATTAACCACCTAAACCCTTGATATATTATCTTGCCATTTTTCACAGACAGAATTTGTTGCCTTTTCAGTATCACAGACTGTGCATGTGTACTACAGAAATAGGCATTGTGTGAGTTGCCTTACAACAGTACGAAGAAAATAACTATAATGTTCAATTGTACATGTCATGTAGAAACTAACCAGTGATGACTTTGAGTGTTCAAGGAATGACAGCCCTAAAAGCTCCGTAATGTATTTCTCGCCGAGCTGATGACTGGAGGATGTTCTGGTTGGCTTGATAAAATCAAGAGAAATCCACTGGCGAATTAGATCATCTTTGACTATCTTGTGACCTTTTGGAAAGATTGCACAATAGGCAAAGCACAGTTTCAAATATGAAGGCATGGAACTATAACTTAACCTCAAGGATGCAATCACTTGTCTTGAAGGTGTATCTTCCGAGTCTGAAGCAGATAGAGTCCAAATATCACTGTCTCTCACTGACTCCCATTCATGAGATGTTGGCATAGAATTTAACATGTACCCAAGTGATTGAGCTGCTAAACCCACACCTACACATTTCATTGCAATGTTAATCCCAATCTGCTCCAGCTTAGCTTTGTCATCTTTATCCTCAAAGCCACTCTTTTGCTTTATTATAGTCCAACACATGTCATTTGTCAGTGGTGCTAATTTGTGTGGTCTGGTTGACATCTTCTTTGCAATGCCTTCATTCCGTGTGGTTAGTATAACAACCACCTTGCTTGCCTTCTCAACCATTAACATAGTCTTCAGATCATCCAAAAGAAAATCACTGCCCTCCCACAAATCATCTAAAACGATCAGAATCTTCTGCTTTTCAGCAAACAACTTTTGAAGAGCAATGTGTATCATCTCCCTGTTAGTGTCTTGACTCGTATTACCTGAAAGTTGTGATATTATAGAATTACCAATATTATTCAAGTCAAATGTCTGGGACACATATACCCACACCCTTGAGTAGTCTTGGAATTGGGGATTATTATTGTAGATTAGTTTGGCCATGGTTGTCTTGCCAAGGCCCCCAATACCATATATAGGAAGAAAGGTGATTTGTTCTGTGATGCCCTTAGATACAGAAGCCAGTATTTTCTCTTCCTCATCAGTCCTCCCAATGATCTGTGCCTTCAGGGTCGATGATGTTGTTACACGTGTATCGGTAACTTTCTGCTTATTGGCACCAGCCCCTGGCATTAAGTTGAAGGCCTTGTGTTGAGCTGTGATCTCCGCCACATGCTCTCTCATCGTCTTCATCTTATTAGCCATTTTAATCTTGTTAACAGTTGTGAGAAAAGGGATCACAACAGCCAATTTCTTCTTGCGGGAGACCTGTAAGAGATAGTTCCGTTGATCTGTTAGTACTTGGCTAAATGTTTGGAAGTGTCTCAGTAAATGAGCATGTCCATGCTAGCAGCCTAGCTGCATTATTGTCTATCATAACCCTTTTTTTTAAGTAGTACTGTAAAGACTGTACCAATCCACACTGTTAGGGACCAAGATCAAGATAGACTCTGTTGTTATACAGTGTGTAGCGAATGGTACTCCCTCTGTCCCATAATATAAGAACGTTTTTGGCACTACACTAGTGTCAAAAACGTTCTTATATTATGGGACGGAGGGAGTATATAACTATATGACCAGATGAGCAATTTATTTTGTGAAGTTCCCCAGTAAAGAAAAAGATGCCGACACCCAATAGGGGGTCATCTCCGATGCCGCCTCCAGCTTTGGCTCGGTTCAGATGGGGCCTTCCTGCCTCCTCCTGTGGTGCGCTCAATTATTTTTCTAGAGTATGAGAACATACAATTTGTGAGAGAGAGTACAAGAACAATTAGAATGGGAAGGGTACATTTTGACTCTTCTTGATTTCTTACCTGAAATGAGACAACTGACAAGGAGGAACTTCGATGATCTAAAGTATTTTACAACACTTCATAAACAATGTTCCTTTCTTGAAAGTAAAGACTTTGCCTTGTCATAAGGAAAATCGTTGCGCTACCAAAATCACGCATTCAAAGCTTCCAAGAAAAATTTATCACAACATAGGCGCTTTAGTTATTTTTTTAAAACGAATTTAGTACCATCCTTATAGTACATAATAGGCTGCTAGTTATCTTCGCGTACACAAACATATACTCTCTCTGTCCCAAAATTCTTGTCTTAGATTTATCTAAATACGGATGTATCAACTATCAAGTCACGTATTAGGTACATCCGTATCTAGACAAATTTAAAACAAGAATTTTGGACGGGGTAGTTAAAACAAGTTTGACAATAAGAAATTATAGCAAGAACAAAGAAGAGGGCCAGGAGTTAGAGTTACCTCCTCTGCTTCGGAATCATCAAGCATGTCGGAGATGGCGTACATGGCGTCCTTGAGCCGCTTCAGCCACAGGCGGACCTCGTTGTCAGTGATGGCCCGCCTCTCGGCGTCCAGCAGCACCGCCTCGACGCACTCGAGCGTCTCCTTCATCCTGCGCAGGTCATTGCCGAAGTTACGCCGCAGCTTGATCTGGCCGCCGAGCACGGAGCTGATCTGATCCCCCACCACCTTGAGGAGCGCAGAGGCGATCAGCCCCCCGAGCTGCGCCATGGCTCCTCCTGCTCCTAAGAGGGCGTCAGTCTCACCGTCACCGGCCGTCAAGTGTTGGGATGCGTGTGGGGGGTGGGATCAAATTCCAGATCAAGGAGAGAGAGCGTGGGGGTTGTTGTGGGTGGAGAACTCAATTATTGAAGGAGCATTTGTTTTTGCAGTAGTTTGACCTTTCAGTAGTACACCACTGACAGTGAGTGAGTACACCGCTAACTTTGTTCTAAAATAAAAGTAGTTTAATATTTCTAACATTTTGATATTTTTATTCAAGATTCGAGGTGATGACGCTCCCGTGCAGCTCCCGCAAGCTGTAGGCGGGATAGTTTGCAATACAATAGACGTTGTATTGATGGGTGTTGGTGCACGTATATATAATTACAGGGTAGACTTCTACCTCAACTACACAGAACTATGAGGTGGGCCACAACTCCAATATACATGCAACACAAAATTCATACTCAACACCCCCGCGGTCGAACACTAGTAGAAAATGGGGCAATGGTCCAGGCCAGGTCAGCCCATTAGTCCCGGTTCAATCCAGAACCGGGACCCATGGGGGCATTGGACCCGGTTCGTGAGCCCCGGGGGCCGGCCGGGCCACGTGGGCCATTGGTCCCGGTTCGTCTGGACCTTTTGGTCCCGGTTAAAGGGACGAACCGGGACCAATGGGCCTCGCTCCTAGCCCACCACCATTGGTCCCGGTTGGTGGCTTGAACCGGGACCAAAGGCTGCCCTTTAGTCCCGGTTCGTGCCACGAACCGGGACCAATTAATTGCCTATATATACCCCTCGCTCGTGAGCAGAGCACTCCCACTGCTCTGTTTTTCCTGGCCGGCGAGGAGAGAGCTTTGTGGTGCTCTAGCTCACCTCCTATGCACACGAGGTGTTCGATGGAATGCCCGAGCCACACTACTTAAGCTTTCTCCTCTCCAAGCTCCATTTTCCTCAATACTTATGTAGGTTTAGCGGTCCGTCATGTCCCGTCCCCGTCTTCATCGCCGTCGATCACCCGCGCCGATCTCGTCGCCGGCACTACCGTGGTGAGCCCCTTGTTCTTATCTTCTTTCTGAAAAGAAAAAAAATTTCTTACTTGTATGTTTATATAGATACTTGTATAATTTTCTTACTTTTATTATTGCATCTTATATAGTGCGATGGTTTTGGTATCCGCCCTCGTTGGCCCTCGTCCTGTCTATGATTCGGATGTGGTATATATTATCTTTTCATAACTGTTGGTTCACTTATTGTTCATGACAATTATGCCGACCAACGTAACATATATTTTATTTTTCTAGGAGGTTGTTGAACCGGAAATTCCAACCGACCCTATTGTCGAGAGGTTAAATTTAGTTGAAGAAGAAAACAATTTCTTGAAGGAAAAAATAAGAAAAATTGAGGAGGAGAAGATGATATTGGAGTTGCATGTTGCGGATGTCGTCGATGATCACAAGATCAAGATGGACGCAATGCACTTGAAGATTAGAAAGATTTGAAAATATGTCATTCATACCGAGGCTTGGTATCATTATGCCGTTGGATCAGTTGTTACATTGGTTGCGATTATGATCGCATTTGTTTTCGCATTGAAATGTTTTACATAGTTTCAATGTATGATTTAATTAATTTAGATGCTCTGCAAAGCTTTATGTTGTTAGATGAGAACTATGTATGTACTTTGGTTTTAATGTGATAATGAACTTCTATTAATTTGGTCACTTAATTATCTATTCATGATGTTCTGTAATGATTTTTAACACACTTAATTATATATAATGCACGCAGATGAACCGGCAATGGATGTACGGTTCAAGACACACCTCCGAGTACATTAAGGGCGTGCATGATTTTCTCGAAGAGGCTGAGGCAAACAAGAAGAATGGTTTTATGTGTTGTCCATGCCCTATATGTGGGAATACGAAGTCTTACTCTGACCAGAAAATCCTTCACACCCACCTGCTTTACAAGGGTTTCATGCCACACTATAATGTTTGGACGAGGCACGGAGAAATAGGGGTTATGATGGAAGACGACGAAGAAGAAGAGTACAATGACAACTATGTGCCCCCTGAATACGGTGATGCTACTGAAGATCAAGAGGAACCAGACAATGTGCACGATTATGCTGCAACGGGCGAAGCTGCTGAAGATCAAGAGGAACCAGACGATGTGCCCGATGATGATGATCTCCGCCGGGTCATTGTCGATGCAAGGACGCAATGCGAAAGTCAAAAAGAGAAGCTAAAGTTCGATCGCATGTTAGAGGACCACAAAAAAGGATTGTAGCCCAATTGAGAAGATGGCAACACAAAGCTCGGTACCGTATTGGAATTGTGTGACGCCCCCAATTCAATCGTACACTAATCATGCACGCAAATGTGTACGATCAAGATCAGGGACTCACGGAAAGATATCACAACACAACTCTAAAACATAAATAAGTCATACAAGCATCATAATACAAGCCAAGGGCCTCGAGGGCTCGAATACAAGTGCTCGGTCATAGACGAGTCAGCGGAAGCAACAATATATGAGTACAGACATAAGTTAAACAAGTTGCCATAAGATGGCTAGCACAAACTGGGATACAGATCGAAAGAGGCGCAGGCCTCTTGCCTGGGATCCTCCTAAACTACTCCTGGTCGTCGTCAGCGGCTGCACGTAGTAGTAGGCACCTCCGGTGTAGTAGGAGTCGTCAACGACGGTGGCGTCTAGCTCCTGGACTCCAGCATCTGGTTGCGACAACCAGAAAGAAAGGAAAGGGGGGAAAAGGGGGGAGAAAGCAACCGTGAGTACTCATCCAAAGTACTCGCAAGCAAGGAACTACACTACATATGCATGGGTATATGTGTAAGGAGGCCATATCAGTGGACTGAACTGCAGAATGCCAGAATAAGAGGAGGATAGCTAGTCCTATCGAAGACTACGCTTCTGGCAGCCTCCGTCTTGCAGCATGTAGAAGAGAGTAGATTGAAGTCCTCCAAGCAGCATCTCCAGGTAGCATCTCCAAGTAGCATCTCCAGTAGCATCTCCAAGTAGCATCTCCAATAGCATCGCATAGCATAATCCTACCCGGCGATCCTCCCCTCGTCGCCCTGTGGAAAAGCAATCACCGGGTTGTCTGTGGAACTTGGAAGGGTGTGTCTTATTTAGTATCCGGTTCTAGTTGTCACAAGGTCAAGGTACAACTCCAAGTCGTCCTGTTACCGAAGATCACGGCTATTCGAATATATTAACTTCCCTGCAGGGGTGCACCACATAACCCAACACGCTCGATCCCATTTGGCCGGACACACTTTCCTGGGTCATGCCCGGCCTCGGAAGATCAACACGTCGCAGCCCCACCTAGGCACAACAGAGAGGTCAGCACGCCGGTCTAAATCCTATGCGCGCAGGGTCTGGGCCCATCGCCCATTGCACACCTGCACGTGGCGTACGCGGCCGGTGAGCAGACCTAGCAACCTCCATTACAAAGGAAGTTGCGTTAACGCAGTCCAACCCGGCGCGCGCCGCTCAGTCACTGACGTCAAGAAGGCTTCGTCTGATACCACGACGCCGGGATACCCATAACTACTCCCGCGTAGATGGTTAGTGCGTATAGGCCAGTAGCCAGACTCAGATCAAATACCAAGATCTCGTTAAGCATGTTAAGTATCCGCGAATGCCGAACAGGGCCAGGACCACCTGTCTCCTAGGTGGTCTCAACCTGCCCTGTCGCTCCGCCACAAAGTAACAGTCGGGGGCCGTCGGGAACCCAGGCCCACCTCTACCGGGATGGAGCCACCTGTCCTTTCAGCCCCCATCTCCGAACAGTATCACATGTAATGTAATAGTGTAAAGTATATAGTATTTGCCCGTGATCACCTCCCGAAGTGATCACAGCCGAGTAGTATAGCAAGTCAGACTGACAAGAATGTAGGGCCAATGATGATAAACTAGCATCCTATACTAAGTATTTAGGATTGCAGGTAAGGTATCAATAGATGTAGCAACAATGTCAGGCTATGCATCAGAATAGGATTAACGGAAAGCAGTAACATGCTACACTACTCTAATGCAAGCAGTATAGAGGAGAATAGGCGATATCTGGTGATCAAGGGGGGGGGGGGCTTGCCTGGTTGCTCTGGCAAGTAGGAGGGGTCGTCAACTCCGTAGTCGTACTGGGTAGCGGCGGCGGCGGTCTCGGTGTCTAGCGAGAGAAGAGGGGGAAGAAACAATAAATATTTAAGCAAGTAGATGCATAGTGATGCATGACATGACAAGTATCGGTGCTAGAGGTGCCCTAACGCGGTATGAGGTGATACCGGTGGAGGGGGAAACATCCGGGAAAGTATCCCCGGCGTTTCGCGTTTTCGGGCAGAGGAGCCGGAGGGGGAAAGTTGCGAGTTCGATAGGTTAGGGGGGTGTGGCGGACGAACGGGTTGCGTATCCGGAACCGTCTCGTTGTTCTGAGCAACTTTCATGTACAAAGTTTCTCCATCCAAGCTACGGTTTATTTTATATTAATTTTTAAAGTTTTTAAATCATTTTCTAATTTATTAATTATTAATTAAATTTGAAAATAGTATTACTGCATCAGCATGACATCATCAGTCAACAGAGGTGTTGACTGGTCAGGCTGACGTGTGGGACCCACCTGTCATACTCTGTTTAATTAATTAGGGTTAGGTTAACTAACTACTGCTTAGTTAGACTAACAGGTTAATTACTAATTAAGTGGGATTAATTAACTTAATTATTTAATTAGATAATTAATCAATTAATAATTAATTTTATTAATTTTATCTATTAATTTTATTTTTAATACTCTTTTTTTAAACGTTCTGTGGGGTGGGGCCCCCATGTCAGTGGCCCCGGGGGGCCTTAACGGGTGCGGGCGCATGGGCGCGCGGGTGCAGGGGGCTACGGGGCGCCCGTTAGCGGGTCGCGCCCCTAATCCAGCGCAGCAGGTCGCCGGCCAGGGGAGTCGTCGGCCGCGACGGCCAGAGTGGCCGGAGCCGGGG